AAATATGAGAATTAGATAATATGCTGTTGAAATGAGACAATGCAATTGTGTTTTCTTATTTTAAGTGTAAATTGCCTTGTTCTATTGGCAAAATGTCTGTTTTATCTCCTCAATCCAAGAACAAGTGCACTTATTTTAAGAAAAAATTACTTCTCTAGATTTCGTTTTTTTTCCAGTTGCCTGATCACAGTTTGCATCTTTTTTCTATCTTTAAAAACATTTAAAACATGAAGCAGGCGCAGTCAAACCTGAATGTAGGAACTATCTGCAGAGAAGTCCAGCTGCAGGACAAAAGCAGGAATATCGCTGCAGTACACCAGCCGGCTCACGGTCGGCCCGGCGCTCATGTCGTACACGTCCACCGTGTTCTCCACTGACCCCACAGCCAACAACCGGCGGTCAGGGCTGAAGCTGCAACCAGACAGATTCTCCATCAACAGAACCTGGAATATCTCCTTCAGTTTTAAATGCCGGTCGTTGGATCCCCTACCGGATGTCCTGCAGGCTGGCGCTGCGGTCTCGCTTCTTTGCCCAGATCTTAAGGGAGTTGGAGAGGAGGATGAGGAACTCTCCGTTCTTCATCCCGACCGCCAGCATCTCTCCATCTGAGCTGTAGCTCACACAGCGAGCGGCATGGCCAACGCACACTTTGTTCAGGAGTTTCTGGGCACAAAGAGAGAAACTGTCACACACACTGGAAAAAACATCTAGAAATAAGTACAAATGTCTTTTATTAGGTGTATTTACCTTTCATTTGAGTAGGTAAATAAGATGATTTGCCAATTGAATGAGTAGGTAGGATAATTAGATAAAACACAATTTTATTTATTTTATTTTAAAACATAAATTGACTTGTTCCATTGGCAAAGTGTCTCACTTGACTTCTCAATTCAAGAAAAAATGCACTTTTTTAAAGAAAAATTACCATTTTTTCCAGTGCATCAGGTGGATCTGTGAGACGTTAAGAGATTTATCCAACCTACCAATTTATTAAATAACTAAACCAGGGGTGGGCAACCCCAGTCCTTAAGGGCCGGTTTCCTGCAACATTTAGATTCATCCTTGGTCCAAATGGTTGAATTATCTCCACACTATGCAGTCAGTTTCTTCTTTCAGTCCTTTTAATTATTTATTTACTTCAGGTGTAAGTCAAGGACTTATCTAAAAGTTCCAGGATACGGGCCCTACAGGCCCTACAGGACTGGAGTTGCCCACCCCTGAACTAAACGCTCTCTGGTGAATCTTTAAAAAATGTTCCCTTGAGATATTTATTCTAGATTTACTGACTGAATACGAAGCATCAGATGATATCAAACCATGACAAAGATGCTAAAGTCACTAGTAGTGAAACAATGAATCAGATTAATGGATTATTGAAATAATTGTTAACTAATTTAGTAATCGATTAATCGCTAACTGAAGAATTATGACACTAAAACATGCCTTTAGCTGACAGTGACCAACTTGAATAAAACATGTTTATGTATAATTACTGCTTTAAAAAGAGCAGTAATTGTCAATCTGCTCTATCCAAAGCTCCTGAAGTGAAAAAAAGTTTCTTTAAGGAATCTTTGGCTGTAAGATTATCAATTGATTGACTGAAATAATAATCAACAGATTCATTCATTTGCAAAATAATGGTTAGTTGCAGCACTATAAGTTACCCAATGCACGAAGATAAATAGAAAAGAACAAAATGTTTCTGCTTTTTAATCAAACTAAGCTGCAAAAAGTGATGTAATAAGCAGAGACATTAGAAGTTCTGCTCTAATCCATGAGAGTGAGGGACTGGAGAGGGTCACCTTGTCACTGAGGTCCCAGAGCCTGATGGTGGCGTCGTCGCTGGCGGTGATGCAGAGCTCTTTGATCGGATGAGCAGCCAGACCCCAGATCCCTCCCCGGGCGTGGCTGTCCAGCAGCAGGTTGCACGCTGAGTTCTTCTCCCCGACCTCGATGATCTCCCCATCCTTCGTCCCCACCAGGATCTTTCCCTGAGGGGAGGAAGAGGAGCTGCAGTGAGGAAGAAGCTCCAGGAGGAGGAGGGTGGAGGTGAGAAATGCTCCGACCTTTCCTCTGCAGACGGATCGGACACACTCCACCTGCTGACCCGTCTCCAGCTGGAAGGCCCGACAGCGCTTCATCTCCTGATCCCACAGCTTCACCGCTCCGCCCTCTTTGGTCCTGATGGACAGTTCCAGAAAAAACCCTCAGATACCGAAACAGACTCAACATCCTTAGTTCCTGAACAGGAAATCATCTTTTTCACCAAGAACCTGAGAACATCTGATGCTGTGGAACTAAATGTTCCTCAGAGGAACCATCTCAGCTAAAAGTATTTAGAAACATGTCAGTGATTCAGTTTTAAACCCGGATCTGTGCGGCGCCTCACTCACGGCCGCTCCTTCCCACCGGTGACGATGAGCCCGTCCCTCAGCGTGGTGTACATGGTGAACACCGGCCCCGTGTGAGCCTTCGCCACCACTCTCAGCAGGAAGTGATCTCGCCACACGTACACGTCCCCGTTGATGGCGCCGGTAAACGTCAGGTTGTTCTGGGAATTAGAGGTAGGCGATACCAAGTAAATACAGGGTCAGCATTACCGATATCGATACTTTTTATATTTAAGCTTGGTCTATCNAGCCTACCTGCAGTCGTCTCCTCCTGTGCTGATCACATATTTGTCGTCATGGGAGAACCGGATGTTGGTCACATGAGGCGAGTGGCCGAGGTAGCGCTTGTGTTTGGCCTGCAGCCCGAAACAACAAGAACCTGGTTTAATGTGCTGCAGCATAATTTAACATACGATAAAAACGTTTGAGATCAAACCACCTGGTTCCATTCAGAGGCATGGAATCATTAATATCAATAAGGTTAAAGATTGTTGTAAATCCTCTGGGGTAACCAGTGGGAGTCAGGGTAACCTGGGCAACCAGCCTGCTTCTGATTGGTCCATTAATCCCAGTTTATCTAATACAAGCCAGGAAGCAGTGATGTCCTGGTCCAATGGTTAGCTATAATGGAAAAGTTCTGTTGGATAGCACATTGAGTCCATTCTCTGTAGTTGGCTTTTAAAACCAATTTAACTGGAAAAAAACTCTTTCAGCGTAAAACCACAGAGCCGTTCAGCATCTTGGTCAATATGGGCCAATGAAGCCATTATTTAACAGACGTATATTTCATATGCGATTGAATATTTCAAATATATGATGAAGTTTCAGATTATCTGCAGTTTTATTTGGGATGGAAACTCACAAACTTCTCTGTGCAGGGGAAGTCAAAGAGTTTGACCAATCCGAAGTCGTCCCCGCTGACAACGTTCAGTCCGGCGTGAGACACGCAGGCGCAGATCACGTCAGCTTTGTCGGCATTCCGGGGCCAAATTCCCAAAACTTCCTCTCCCAGAATGCTGCAGAAGAGATGGATGAGAGAAGCTTCTGAGCCATGGTAACAGTTACTGACTGGGTGGATGGGGGGTGGGGTTACCTGGTCCACGTCGCCCAGGTGATTCTGTCGATGGTGCTCTGCTCACTCAGGAGCTTCCCTGAAGGAACCTCAAACACAAGCCGTCTGTAGGCTCCGGTCGACACCTGAAGGCATCACAGTCTGCAGGTCAGGACATGTCTGAGTATGTGGACGCTTATCAGATAAACTAATGGATGATTTATTCTGCTGAACTTGTTCCAGGGAGCTGGTACTGACATGCACTGTATAAACAATCCAGAAATAAGTCAAAAAATGTCTTAAATTAAGTGCCAATGGATTGCATATGATTACTCTTAAAATATGAGAATTAGATAATATGCTGTTGAAATGAGACAATGCAATTGTGTTTTCTTATTTTAAGTGTAAATTGCCTTGTTCTATTGGCAAAATGTCTGTTTTATCTCCTCAATCCAAGAACAAGTGCACTTATTTTAAGAAAAAATTACTTCTCTAGATTTCGTTTTTTTTCCAGTTGCCTGATCACAGTTTGCATCTTTTTTCTATCTTTAAAAACATTTAAAACATGAAGCAGGCGCAGTCAAACCTGAATGTAGGAACTATCTGCAGAGAAGTCCAGCTGCAGGACAAAAGCAGGAATATCGCTGCAGTACACCAGCCGGCTCACGGTCGGCCCGGCGCTCATGTCGTACACGTCCACCGTGTTCTCCACTGACCCCACAGCCAACAACCGGCGGTCAGGGCTGAAGCTGCAACCAGACAGATTCTCCATCAACAGAACCTGGAATATCTCCTTCAGTTTTAAATGCCGGTCGTTGGATCCCCTACCGGATGTCCTGCAGGCTGGCGCTGCGGTCTCGCTTCTTTGCCCAGATCTTAAGGGAGTTGGAGAGGAGGATGAGGAACTCTCCGTTCTTCATCCCGACCGCCAGCATCTCTCCATCTGAGCTGTAGCTCACACAGCGAGCGGCATGGCCAACGCACACTTTGTTCAGGAGTTTCTGGGCACAAAGAGAGAAACTGTCACACACACTGGAAAAAACATCTAGAAATAAGTACAAATGTCTTTTATTAGGTGTATTTACCTTTCATTTGAGTAGGTAAATAAGATGATTTGCCAATTGAATGAGTAGGTAGGATAATTAGATAAAACACAATTTTATTTATTTTATTTTAAAACATAAATTGACTTGTTCCATTGGCAAAGTGTCTCACTTGACTTCTCAATTCAAGAAAAAATGCACTTTTTTAAAGAAAAATTACCATTTTTTCCAGTGCATCAGGTGGATCTGTGAGACGTTAAGAGATTTATCCAACCTACCAATTTATTAAATAACTAAACCAGGGGTGGGCAACCCCAGTCCTTAAGGGCCGGTTTCCTGCAACATTTAGATTCATCCTTGGTCCAAATGGTTGAATTATCTCCACACTATGCAGTCAGTTTCTTCTTTCAGTCCTTTTAATTATTTATTTACTTCAGGTGTAAGTCAAGGACTTATCTAAAAGTTCCAGGATACGGGCCCTACAGGCCCTACAGGACTGGAGTTGCCCACCCCTGAACTAAACGCTCTCTGGTGAATCTTTAAAAAATGTTCCCTTGAGACATTTATTCTAGATTTACTGACTGAATACGAAGCATCAGATGATATCAAACCATGACAAAGATGCTAAAGTCACTAGTA